GTATTTGATCTACAGATGAATGATGGAATAGTGTAATTTACTTCTGTATGTCAACTCAGTCTCACTGTATTTCAGTGGGCGGCTTTTAAAAGTTAAAACTGCAAGCATAATACACACAAACAATGTAACACTGTGTTGTATTTACTTAACGTGGGGCAGTTGCACAATCTCCTAGTGGAGGGCATAATTATTAATTAATAGGCATTATAGGCCAGAGGAAATTTTGCGCCCCTTCACATCTGCACCCGGGGGCGACTGCCCCCTCTTGCCCCACTCTTGCTATGCCACTGACTATTATGAGTCATATTAAACAATAACAATTAATAACATTATTAAAAATGGGTGGTTTACCTTTAATGATCTTTTATTCAATTCTCGATCATAAACATATATACACTCGTCATTGGCACTGAAAAGATAAAATGAATATCTGGGGAAAAATAACTTTTAAAATTAGATAATTTAGGTTGAAAATAAATCCTCCCCTTCCTATTGAAAGCTTTTACAATTATTTAAATAACTGGATACATCCTTCTATACAAAGAACGATGATTAATTTATACAATTATATGTTTAAGTTAGGATGACAAAACTTTATACACCAATTATTCAAAAGCACTCCTGAAATTAATTTTTCAAACCTCCCTTCATTTCACACCAAGTGGTTGAACACAGGCCAGTGATGGTTTTATTTTCTTGAAATTTTTACATGTTCTACAGTAATTCCTGTATGTTGAATCCAAAAATTATATCCATTTTTCTCCATCATGTACAGATTTTTCACAAAACCTCATAATGCAATACATAAAAGAAAGACCATAACACATAGTTTTGAGACTGAAAGATGTAGGTAGATTATACCCAAAAAATAATCAGGATGAAAGAGGATGCATATTCGTTTGACATCAATATTCTTCCCTTTTCTTCAGTTTGTTTGTGTTTTTGTTAACAAACACAATAATAAAAAATTTTCACTGTGGTAAACGAAATAATAATATGATTTAAGTAATAGTTTTTTTCCTTCCCGATTTGTAAAAAATCCTTACGCGATAGAAAAAAAAAAGAATATTATTTTATGAAATCTGCGTAGCTGAATTATGGAAAATCTGTCATTAAAACCAAAACAACTTTTATGATGTTTAAATATGCAGACCTGCGTAATTTTAGATAAGAAGAATGTTTTCATATCAAAATATTTAAAATACGCATTTCTTAGTCTTACCTCCCAAGAATTTCTTTTCCATCATGGGAAAAACGTAAAGAAAAGATGCAGAAGCGGCGATCTTCTGGCGAAAGGAACAAAGCTGCATGGTTATCTTGTTTTCCGTATATGTCACATATGTGAACTGCAAGAGCAAACATATTGTAGGTTTATCACGACATTCAAATACTACGGCACTATACATATTTCTCCTACAATTTTTTTACACACTATACAATTATCCGAAGAAGTAAGAAAAAGATCTGTGGAGAGAATTTGTGCTATAAATAACACACACACACACACACACATTGAAGATTTTTCAACAAATGTAATAAAACTTTAGGTGTTTAGGTAAACAAGATATACCTAGTTGAGATATTTTAAATGTTACGTAACTATCATGACTTAACAGCCTGGTTCTGAATGTCTTTTACACAGTATTTAAATATTCCTACTTCCCATGAAAAGCATAAAACTGTATTGGGAAAACTAATATTAATGTGTTTTTTCTTCTCCTCCTCCTGTTGGTATTGAAGCAAACATGTAAACAAGCTGTAACACAGCACATAAAATCTTTTCAACACACCAATATATTTCAAAATTGTTCAGTTTTCATAAAAATTAAATTATTGTTTTATACGCTACATTCTGCTATCTCGTGTTCCTACAAGTTTTGATGCTTATTTGATGTGTGAAATGATGTACACATCATGCTCCTGCACATTTAAATGGTTATTCAATGGGTTAGTTGATGTATACATCATGCTCCTGCACATTTTAAATGGTTATTCAATGGGTTAGTCCATGTATACATCATGCTCCTGCACATTTTAATTACTACTCTGATATGTACATCAATGGTTATCTTAATAGTTAACTGGTACTTTAATGATAAGATATAGTTAAAAACACAAGCTATACAGTAAAGGTACTCAATTTCCTAGGCTTTATTTATCGCAAAGTGAGAACGAAGGCATTTGAATTTATTGAGATATAAGAGAGTAAACAGGATTTATCTGAGGCTTAAAAACTGTCACGTTTTTACTTGAAACATTACCATAGAGTTGCTATTATACAAGTGGTTCTAATTAAATTCTGGTGTGTACAACCCACTTAAAGAACTGACAAAAGTCTGGTGTGTAGAACCCACTTAAAGAACTGACAAAAATCTGGGGTGTACAACCCACTTAAAGAACTGACAAAAGTCTGGGGTGTACAACCCACTTAAAGAACTGACAAAAATCTGGGGTGTACAACCCACTTAAAGAACTGACAAAAGTCTGGTGTGTAGAACCCACTTAAAGAACTGACAAACGTCTGGTGTGTACAACCCACTTAAAGAACTGACAAAATTCTAGGGTGTACAACCCACTTAAAGAACTGACAAAAATCTGGGGGTGTACAACCCACTTATAGAATTGATCAAGGTTCAGAACAACTGAAACTATTATATTCCAACACACAACTACCAAAACAAGTTCACAAGCAGAAAACAAGTAATACTTAACATCTCTAACGATGGCTCATATGATTTTTCTACAACAATAAACTTGTACTCTGAATACAGGTAACATTGGAGAAGCTGGGTATAAGATGCTACAGCATGTCAATAATGGTTAATTGAGTTGGACTTTAAGGTTGTCTTGAAAGAGTCAGTGCCATATTTTCCAATTAAAATAGTGATGAAAAGATATGTAAAACCGACTTAATTTTGTACATTCTTCTGACTGGAGGGCAAAAAACCATACATTAAAATCAATTTTACAATTTAATAAATACTTCTTGTTTTAAATCTCAACAGCAGCAAAATAAATACCACAAGTTAAAATCTAGGTTAATGCAAAATAACTTACGATATAAAAACAAAAACCATACTTACTGTATTCAGACCAACTTGAGTAGACAAACTGTTGACCATTTGGGCTTCAAGGAAAAATCAAAATAAATTAGGGATTTGAAAACTAAGTAATGACAAAAATTACCCTAGTACACAATCACAGTACTCAGTTTTAAAACACAAACACCATGCTGTCGACAACTGTTATTGGTACTAAGATTCACAGTACTCAGTTTTAAAACACAAACACCATGCTGTCGACAATTGTTATTGGTACTAAGATTCACAGTAACTCAGGTTTAAAACACAAACACCATGTTGTCGACAATTGTTATTGGTACTAAGATTCACAGTACTCAGTTTAAAACACAAACACCATGCTGTCGACAATTGTTATTGGTACTAAGATTCACAGTACTCAGTTTTAGAATGCAAACACCATGCTGTCGACAATTGTTGCAGGCACTAAGATTCATCATATCCATTGCTGATGATGCATTTTGCTCAATCCAGAGCTCATCAGGCTGGCTAGGACACAAGAAACACAGTAGTGGTTGGAACACTGTTTATAACAATATTATTGTGTCATCAACAATGGATATGGAACACACAATCTAACTGAAATATTATTATCATTCACTCTTCTTCCTCTTGAAAACCCATGAGGGACTGAATAAAGAATGTAGTGTTTAAAAAAAATAATAGGCCTAATACTGACAAGAATTTGCCAGCTTAGAAAAGGCAATCATATCATAGCACTAAGGTGTAAAACATAAATTATATCATGTCAACAACTGCTATTAAATTGTAAAATGTGATATAGACTAGGATTAACTTAGATAAATGGATGGATGGCTGACTGAAAATGTTTTTTTTATTCAGTAGGTAAGGTATGTACTATTATTTCTTTATTGTTACTTTTGTTAACAGTATCAGTTAGAATGTTCACTATATTCAAGTTCATTATTTTTTAATTCTATTATTATACCTTTATTAAAAAAACTATTTTGATTTGTTAGTTTAATATATGCATTTAAGGCTAACCTAAATCTCGTAAGCTGGTTGAAACTCAGGAGATATTATTGGGATTATGGTCAAAAATATTATCAGTGAGGTTACATAATTAATGAAACAGTGCATTCTGGTCTTTATAAATAATAATGTAAGAAAAGTATACTTAATTATTTATAATCATTACAAATACCAGATTGAATTTTAGTTTTAATCTGAGTACGTCGCTTTCTCTGATTGGGAATTAATATAAATTAGATAACGATTTTTTTGGATGATAAATGTTAGAATTATTTGTAGGTAAGATCAGGCTTAGGATGAGTTAGGTTGTTACAGAAATATAATAATAGCACTAGCAGTAAACTCAAATATGTTAAGTTTATAACCTATAGTTTGTATATAGTGTTGGATGCTTAATATAGTAAGTGAAAGTTAGATCTAAATTCTGAGTTTAAAATAAGGCATTTAAAAAATGGGACAGAACTTAATTATGTTAAGGATACTGCCACAAGTTAACTGTGGGAAGGAGATCGTATGTAGGCCACTAGGGCCGAATACTAGGCTTAAATTAATATGTACGGACAAGCAGATTGCCTGATTGGACTTGTGGAATCAGTTTGATTAGAAACGGATCTTTTTGGAATGTATGGTTTACACTTAAGTAGGGTAGGGTGTTTTCAAGAGCTATTAACTCAGCTTTAAACTATGGCTATAGGATAAACATAAAAAAATAACATATAGTGAAAAAGCATAGCATCAAAACAAGGTACAGAAATAATTTTAAGGATTGGCTAAATTGTTACTATTATGAAGTATTAGAAATAAGAAAGATAACTGATGATGACAAAACCTTGTCTAAACGTTGTACATTTGCTGTTATGTTAAACTTATATTAAAGTTTTTCTTCATTACCCATTCAAGCCATCTCCAACCATTATTAACTTTAGAGTAGTTACAGGAATGGAGGTTTTTGATACTATGGAAATAAGAAAGACTTAGTTAAAATGTAGGCAGTTTTGATGGCAGAAATATCTTTGAAATACAGAGTAATGGGTTACTTAGTAGGAAAAGGCTATTAAAGAATGTTTGTTAGTTTGTTGTTAAGTGCAAAGTTACAGAATGGGCTATCTGTGCTATGCCCATAGCAGGTATCAAAGCCAGATTTTTAGTGTTACAAGTCCACGGACAAAAAGAGGAGTGACTTCATGTTTGTAAACTGTTGAAGTTGAGGATATCAAAGATAATAGCAAGGAGATGATATCTATCTGGGTTGCTGTTAGTAGATACAGAAGTATAAGGCTTTTAGTTAGAATTTGTTACAAATGAACTGATGAAATTAATGAGACACTTTACAGTGAGATTAAAATTACAGTTGTTATAATTATGGAAGATATTAATATCAGGCATACAGATTGAGAAATTTTAGATTCAACTATGAGAGAGACAGGTTTTTAGAACCTGTTCAGGACAGTATTCTAGTTAAAAAATCTATTAGAAATGATGCTATTTTAGATTTATTCCAACAATCCATGTAATCAAAATATTGACATAATGATTTCTCATTGTAATTTTTGGTTAATTCGAAGTTGTTCACCTTAATCAATTAATGTCACAACTCACAAAAATAGTGAAATAATTCAGATTAGTGTTTCCAAGCGTTACAATTTTGAATTATTCCAACAACACAAGTCTAATGTGATTAGTTGAATGTTACTGACTAGTGAGCCCAACGATCAATCAATTATCGAATTTCACTAACTGTCAAGCTCTTGTCAAAAGTGGGGTACTTCAAGGATTAGTGTTGGGACCTTTGCTCTTCTTGATTTACATCAACAACATAGACGAGGAAATGTTCAATAAACTGCTTATAATTTACTGATATAATTAAAGTCTTAGGTGTTACTGCTTTACAAATGGATTTACAACATTTGGCAAGTTGGCTGAATAACTGACAAGCGGTTTTTAATTATAATGAATGCAAAATAATGCATGTGGGGTATAATAATTTAAATTACAAATAACCTTAAAGGTGTTATGTAACACAAGGATCTTGGTGTTTTAATGTTCATTCTCTTAAGCTAACAAATCATTGTGCTATTAAAATCTCTGATATTGTTTTCTCTTGAAAAATGAGTAGTCAGTGGGGAACTGATTGAGGTGTTGAAGATTACTAAGGGGGATAAAACATCAATACACCATCATATTTTGTATGGCAGGATAAGGGGACAAGTATAAATTTTGGCAAGACAGGAAACATCTTAGACAAACATATTGTTACGTTTCTGTTTGTTAATTTACTTTCCGTAACCTCGTTCCGACGAAACTTTAGCGACACGAGTCGTTACTTAATAAAACTGGTTTATTCTTTCCGAATATAACTTACGGTACACTTAATTTCAACAATCGCACTAAAACAAACGCTATAACAACGAACGTGCTCAATAATACTCTCTGACTGCAGATCAATTACTCACTGTCTACACACACCTTATCCCGTCACGTTGTCACCCTCTTATATATATATACCAGACTACCCTATATCTAGTAATCTCCCAACAATTCACGAAGGAACAAGATAGTTCTAGAAACGTCACGTGACCTCGCTGACGCAACAATATGTTGATCAAAGCGTAGATTGAACTGGACGTCTCTTGAACTTAGACTTTGAGATTAAACAATTTGCGGAATACTAAGTTTATTTATTATTCATCTTAAACAGTTTTGATTTTCTAATAGTGTGATTGAACTTTAGATGTAATGGATACACCCAATTTAAGAGAAGGCTCGATTAATATTTAAATGGCCAGGGCTGGATTTGAAGTGTTTTTCCTGAGTGAATGGAACAGGCCCTTTGATATCCTGCAATGTAATTACTGCTAGCACTATTCTGTAAAACATTAATACACAATGTAAACAACTACATTCAACACCCAATCATAACACTGTAAGAATGTAGCAACGTATTCGTACCTGATGGCTATATCTAACACACTCCATCCTACATCCCGAGCTGCCACAACCTTCATCAACTTGAAATCCTCTCTACTTGTGTCATATATTCTAATCATACAATCTGTTAAAACACACAACATGGATGGTGTCATCATTCATTTCACAAGATTATAAGTATTTATAACAGATTGACAATTAATCTTTATATTTCAATCAAATGACTAGAAAAAATTTATCAATTAGTTTCTTAAAAAAAAGAAGAAAACAAAACTTAATATAGAAATGTGAGACACTTCCCACACAACATACAGATCAACACAGAGTACAACAAAGATGTTTACCTAAACAACACACTTCATCCAAACTTGTGAGACACTTCCCACACAACATACAGATTAACACAGAGTACAACAAAGATGTTTTCCTTAACAACACACTTCATCCAACTTGTGAGACACTTCCCACACAACATACAGATCAAAACAGAGTACAACAAAGTTGATTACATAAACAACACAGTTCATCCAAACTTGTGAGACACTTCCCACACAACACACAGATCAACACAGAGTACAACAAAGATGTTTACCTAAACAACACACTTCATCCAAACTTGTGAGACACTTCCCACACAACATACAGATTAACACAGAGTACAACAAAGATGTTTACATAAACAATACAGTTCATCCAAACTTGTGAGACACTTCCCACACAACACACAGATCAACACAGAGTACAACAAAGATGTTTACCTAAACAACACACTTCATCCAAACTTGTGAGACACTTCCCACACAACATACAGATCAAAACAGAGTAAAACAA